CACAGACAGAGCCATGCGGAGCGGCAGAAGCCACACGGTCCCCCACCCTGGCACAGCATCATCACCCCCTCCCTCGAAATGCCACCAAGAAGCCGCTTCTTTGCGCTCGCAAAGCCGAGCAAACGTTTCACGAGGGTAAAGTGCTTTATAGAGGTGCTTTGCCCACGTGTTTCACCCATCTTCCCACCACTCACCCCCCCAAAATCCTCCCTGGGCACAGGGATGGGACGTCCCTTGGCTGCACCAAGGCTGGTGGTCCTACCTGCCCCATTAGGGTGTGTAGCGATAGGACGAGGTGGAATGGCTTTAAACTGGAAGAGGGCAGGTTTAGATGAAACATTAGGAAGAAGTTTTTCATTTTGAGGGTGGTGAGGCACTGGCACAGGTTGCCCAGAGAGGTTGTTGAGGCCCCATCCCTGGAGGTGTTCAAGGCCAGGTTGGAGGTGGCCTTGGGCAACCTGGTCTGGTGGGAGGTGTCCCTGCCCAGGGCAGGGGGGTTGGAACTCAATGATCTTCAAGGTCCCTTCCAACCTAAACCATTCTATGATTCTAGGATCTCACCGCTGCAACCCCCACCCCCCATCCCACCAGCCCATTGTGCCATTTGCATAAAGGAGGGAGGGATTGTAATTAAGCGGGTCTCTTCACTTCTAATTATTCATCTCCACCGGCGCAGAGACGAGCAAAGGGCTGTCGGCAGCAACTTCAGAGCGCCAAAGCGATGGATCCCATTCAAGGGCCCTTCGCCGACTGGCTTTTGATCGCCTCGGCTAAGAAAACCAACAGAAAACCACAATCTCTTTATTTTAAGGCGGCTCCTTCCCCGTCTCTTTGATTATTAATTGCCTGGTCTCTTCTCTCCCCGGCTTTTTCAAGGGGAACGTTTTATTTCAAGCTCCAGAGGAAAAGCAAAGGAGGAAAGGGCTTTGGAAATGAAAGCTGTAGGGCTGGATTGAAAAAAAGAAAAAAAAAAATTAAAAAAAAAAAGCGGGGGGGGGGAAAGGGGGGACGAAGAGTTTTCTCGAATCGCTCTCTCAAAGCAGAAAATGAAAATAAAAATAAAAAAATAAAGTGAGTCCTATCCAGCTGCTTTTAGAGTTGCTTCTCCGGCTGCTGCTGCCTTCAGCCCAGCAAGAAGCTCATAAAAAAAGTGAACACCCTTCCTCATATTTTAATTAATTAAGGAAAAAAAATAAATAAATAAACCCTGCTGTGGGAAAGCCTTCGCCTCTGCCCGGATGGAGCTGCCGGGATGCCGCTGTGTCCCCAAAGCCACCCCACACACAAGCCCCCCCAAGTGGGGACATGGCAGGTGACAAGTTGGAGTGTGTCACACACACACCCCCCTCTGAAACACAACTCCGCGCGGGGACGTGTCACCCCCAGCGAGACACCCGCTGCCACGCAGTTGGGCTGTCCCCTCGTCCCCGAGGCCACCGGTGGCCACCGGTCCCCGCGGCCACCCCCGCCGGGGGCGCC